CCCCCCCCCCCCCCCCCCCCCCCGGGGGGGGGGCGGAATGGAGGCGGCGCAGGGGAGGGACCGAACACCAGCCGGGCCCGGTGCCGGGTGCCTGAATGCAGCGAGGCAATTTGTGGCCGCCCCGCCGAAGGACGCCGAAACGAGGGCGCCCGTGCGAAGGGGGGGATCCGCCGGGCAGGCTCGCGAGGTCCGGGCGAGTGGGGGGGGGGGGGGCCGCGGCGCAGGGTTGGGTGCATTGTGCGGGCGGGCGGCGCCCCTCTTCCCCGGGCTTGGGGGCTGGCCGGGGGGCGGGTGGCCCACCGCCGCGGGCAAACGGAATACACCGCCGCGCATGCGTGACTGGTTGTCGGGCGGCGCGGTTTCGCCGGGCGCCGTGCCCCGCGCCGGGGCGGGCCTCCAAAAAGTCGGGACGATTCGGCGGGGAGGGGGGCGGCATAAACCGGCGAAGAGCCCGACATCCAGATTGGTGAATGGGCGCCCCAAATTGGTGTGGGAATTGCCGGCCGGCCGGCATCGTGTTCGGAAGCGGCGGCCCATCGGCCGGGAGCCGCACGTTCCATGCGGGGAGGACGCCGCGCGGGCCGGCGCCAGCCAACAAGCGTGCGGCGCACATGCGCCGGTGTTGAGAAGTGGCCAACGGGGCCCCCGGGGCCGGGGCCCGGGCCGGGGGGCGGGGGGCGGGGGCAACCGCGGCCACCAACGCCGACAACCGAGCACCCATCCATCCGCTATCCGGGGGGGGGGGGGCGCGGATTGCATGCGCATGTTGGATGCGCACAACACGCGTGGGCACACACACACCCATGGTGCTCTCCAACTCCCCCGAATCAGGGCCGCCGGACGGAGGGGAGTTCCATTGAAATGGCGAGCCGGGGGGGGGGGAGGCAGGGGGGGCGCGCGAATGGGATCCATGACTGTGCTCCGGGGGGCGAGCGAGAAGAAAACCACCTAATAATGAGCGCACGGCCGCGAAAGCCGGCCAATATGGCCCGGCTCCCGGCGTCTCGGCATGCGCGTTCCCTCCTGCTGACCAACCGCCGAGCAGGTGGTGGGAGAGGCGCATATATGACCAGCCAATAACCCGGCCCGTCGCCCCCCCCCCCCCCCCCGGGGGGATCCATGCCGGACGACTGGCCGCTGCTCCGGGGGGCCCAACAAAAGCACGGCCACTCTCCCCCCCGAGAGAGAAAAAAACACACAGGCAATGCACATGACACACACTGAAGATATAGGGGAGGGGGGGAGGGGGCGTATGTGCGCTCTGTTATTTAAAAAGCCCTTATTCTCGTCTGCCCCTCCCCCCATCGCCCCCCCCTGAAAAGTGCGCCGTTATGGACGACCCTCGCTCCTGGCGCATGTTCGCGCCGGGCGCCTTCGGCCGGCCTGGCCTCCCCCGCTCAGGGGCCTGGCTGCCGATGGCCCCCCTCGCCGCTCGATCCTCCCCCGGGTGTCGTCAAACTGGAACCGGCTCCCTCGCGTCTCGTAAAATGGTCCCCCCCCCGGTGTTGTTCCCGCCGTCGCCGCGCCCCTGCGCATCCAGCCGATCAGCTCGCGCGACAGCCGGAGCAAGGCGCACCGCCCGTATCGCGGCTTTTCTCGGCGTCGCCCCCGGTACTGGGGGGGGGGGTATCCGCACCGGTGTGCCTGCACATCGATGTGTCCTTTCGGCCCTAAATCTCCCTACCCGCGCGGGCGCCCGATGGGTTGCCCATCCATCCGGGCCCTTCGGGATTGTGGCCACGCCGGAGACCGGCGGCCGGCGTGATTGGAGCCCGAGGCGTCAGCCGAGCCTCGACGTGATCCCGACCCCTGCAAAATCACACCCCTTGGCTGCGCGCCGACAGGGCGGAATGCCGTTACCGGAATATTATGAGCATGGTGCCGACGAATCGGCAGGGCCGGGGTTTCGCCCTTGGTTTGGGTCAAATCTCCTCGGGGCCCCCTGTTGCCGGTTCCCCATCCGCCGGGCGCGCGCGCGCTCGCGCGTCTGGTGCGCGTGCGTGTGAAGGTGTCCGCGTCCCCGCCCCCCCCCCCCCCCCGGGAGCATGCCCCGGCCGCGCATGTTCCCCGCTTGTGGGGCGGCGCCCGGCTGCCTTCGTCGGGCCCGGTCCCGGGGTGCCCCCGCTCGGCATGTGCCTTTGCGTGCTTCTCTGTGTGTGTGTGTGTGTTTCTGTGCAAGCGGCCCATGCCCTGGGTCTCTCGCTCCGGCTGGTCGCCGCCTCACCCGGGAGCCGGCGGAACGTGCGCGCCCGGGATTGCCCGGGCGCTTTTTCGGGCCGATCATTCGGGAGGAATCCCAGGCCGGACATGCGCCCGCCCCGCGCCTCCCCTCCTGGAAGCCCCTTCCTATGCCCGGGGACACGTTTTTCGAGGAGCTCGCCCGGACATTGCCTCGCCCTGTTGTTGGCCGGTGCCTTCCCCCCCCCCCCCCCGGCTCTCCTCTCCCTCCCCGGACGAGTGTTTTGGAGTTTGCCAGTTTTCCCCGGCGCACCCCGCCCGGCCGACGCCGGGCCACACGCGCACGCTTGCGGAGGGGGCCCTGTGAACATGGCGCCCGCGTACGTGCATGGTTCTGTGCGGGCGCGAGCGCGTGCGAGAAGGCGAGGGCCGGCAGCCACCGGGCTCGGGCACCCCCATGGGCAGCGGCGAGACGGCCCACACGCCGACCGGCGAGAGAGGGCGCCTGCCGGTGACAGTACCCCGGCCGGGTGAGACAGGCCGGACAGTCGGCTCCCGGCGTCTCTGGCGGAGGCTCAGGGGACGGGGCGCAGGCGGGTGGGGGGCGGGGGGGACAGCGGCCGGACTGCCCCCCGCCGCCGCCCCCCACGGGGCCTGCTCCCTGCCGGGCGGCGAAGGGGAGGGGGGGAGCACATGGGCCGCCGCGGCGCCCACCCCCCTCCCGAGGGGGATGGCCGGCGTGCCGAGGCAATGAGCCGCGCTTGCCGTCGGCCCGCTCCCGCGCCGGCCTGCCCGGGCGTTCGGTGTGTGGTGCCCAGCGGCGCGCTCCATTATTGGTGCCCACCGTCGCAGCAAGGCGCAGGCATTGACAGACGCCGCGGCGTCCCGGGCCCATGCGCATGCCCCGCGCCGGCTTCTTCCCTTTTCGCGCCGCAGGTCCCGCCGGTGGCCCCGCCGCCGCCGTCCGGGCCATGCCCGAGAGGAGACACACACGCCTCTCTCTTCAGCTTGCGCGTGTGCGTGCGTGCGTGCGTGCGTGCGTGCGTGCGTGCGTGCGTGCGTGCGGGGGGCGCCCCGCGGTGTCTGCGAATGCCCCAAAACGCACGCACTCACCCGAGTCCTGGCCGCCCCCGAGCGGGCCCCCCCCCCTCCCCCCGGCTTCTTCCTCAGGCGCCCGGTAAAAGCCGACAAACACAGCTTTGCCCCTTCCCGGGCAGCCAGCCAGGATGTGGCAGCGCCGCCCCCCCCCCCCAGCCCAGGGCGATCCGGCCGGCTGGCTGCCCAGGCCCGCGGTCCGGAGGGGCATGGCCGCAGGTTGCGCGCGCCTGCGCAGTTTGTCCGCCGCCTCATGTGCCCGCCCTCATTCGACGCCCCCCCCCCTCGCGCCCCGCCCGGCCAGTGCCCGATCGCCCCACCCGGGCCGTTCCCCCCCCCCCCGGGGAAGACCGAGAGGGGCATGGGGCGAGAAACTGCGAGCGACAGCACCTCCCCCCGGCTCGTCGGCCGGCCGGCCAGCAGCCCACCCCGCCCCCGTGCCCTGCCCGCTTCCAGGGCGGTGTTGCGCGGGGGCATGCCCAGGGCAGAGAGGCCGGGGGG